GTAGTAATATCACGAATTAAATTAAATTGACAAACAATTTTTAATAATTTAATGCTCAATCAGGCATCATATTAAAAAGATCCCAGCAAACGAGAATAGATTAAAATGGATTAAAATTTTTTTAATGCGTACTTTAAATCCATGAAAATGGATTGAATGGATTGAAATGGATTGGATCCGAACTGACACTAGTTTAATATTTGTAAAAAAAAAACATTCATATTTAAGGATTACAAATTTTATTCCTAAGACATTTATAATAATTATACCTGAAATTAACTACTTCAAATTGATATTAAAAAATGCACTTTAGTGAGATTTAAGAACCTGAGACTTCTGGATTATGAATCTTCTACCTGCTTCACCATTTCTTCAATTGATAAATGTGTTATCCGTTCTCTACTTAAATTACAACCAACTAAACTAGTAACGAAATTATATAGATATAATAAAAATATCATCACTTAACAGATATAATAAAATATAAACAATTTACTATGAGACAACAAGTGTTGGATAATCTAATCTCGCTTGGCCGATGTCGCGCGTGATTAGCCTAATATTCGGGCTGTGTTCGACTTGATTTGCGAGTGTTCACCTCGGTTATTCATTTTATTTCTAATCAAAGAGAAACAAAAAAACATAGCTCAATTATTTTTACATTACAACTGTTTTGAACTTAGTTGGATTAAAACGAAAAATTTCCTACTTATAATTTTAAATAATTTAAGTAGCATTTATGGTCCATTTTTAAGTAAAAACTTTTTTTATTCAATTAGATTGAAAAATTGCATTTCATATTCAGAATATTGAACAGTATTCACGTTGCATAGAAATTACTGATATTATTTTTTAATTTAACTAAATTAAAAAAACTGTACTTCCTATTCACAATTCTGAATTGAATAATATTCACGATGCACAGAAAATGCTAATATTATTTTTAGATTGAAAGGCATAGAGATATGCTCTATGCAATTCCTATAAATGAATAAAAATTCAGGATTAAAAAAGATTCATTTTAACATTCATGAATCCGTATTTCTGAAAATCTGAATTCATTTTAATCCATTTCAATCCATTCTCGTTTGCTGGGATGTTAAAATGCTGAAAAATTGTAAATAGATTTATTGCGAAAAATTTCCTCGGAAATCAAACCCGGATCTCTCTTGTATTCCGTACGAGCATCCTAAGCCTTTAGACTTTAGACTATCGAGGCAAAATTAGATATCACGATTGCCGTGATACTGAATATAATGAGAACTAAACATAGTTCATCTAAAAAAAAACAAAGAAATTCTAGACTAGAAGATACATACATTAAATTACTGTTGGCACTTCTGCGAATTAATTAACTTAACCAGAGGTTGATGGAAAATGCTCTTGATTTAATTATATAATTAATTTATTAATTTTAAATCTTTAAAACTTAGGGAAATTATTTATTCAGGAATATTGTGGATTAAAAAATAATCAGATATATTATATAGATATAATAATGAGATATTTAGAGCAGAAAGGGATTTGCGAATGTTTCACATATTTTGTCGATGTATAAATTATATGACGAATGTTAGTACAAATTAAATTCGGGAATTGTGTTTACTGATCGGATTATTCGATGCTGATCATTATATATCGCTACATATGGGTATACAAGTTCGAGAGCGACGTGCCTGAGAAAAACTTGATTTTAATCGTGCCAGCGTGAGCTACCGTGGGATACTTCTTGTATCCCCTCTTGACGCCAACTACCGATGTAATGTTGGTCAATATATTGGAAGGAATTTTATCTCTTGCATACGATTCATTGTTTAATATCTTACGATTAGTCATCCTTTGCATAGCAATTGCAACAATTTGACCCTTAATTTTTAATTATTATAACTTGAGGCCCATATGCATTCGCACATAAATAAAATTAGGAATATAATAGATAATCAAAATTAATTAGCATAAAAATTAAGATTATAAATTTTGTGATAACAATAAAATATTCGAGAAAATCAAAACCAAAGATAAATTTTTTTTCTAAGATTGTGATTGATTAAATAGTATTATGACAAATAATAAATAAATAAATACATGTATGTTGTGTTGACAGAGTCGATGGTGAGGATGTAAGATTGATGTTATGGGATACTGCAGGACAGGAAGAATTCGATGCGATAACCGCGGCTTATTATCGCGGTGCACATGCCTGTGTCCTCGCTTATTCAGCGACTGATAGAGATTCTTTCGATGCTATTCCCTCGTGGAAACTTAAGGTACTAATCTGTAAATTTCATTTATAAAATTAGTAGAGGAATGAATTTAATCTGCTATAAAATTTAATTCACTTAAAAATTCGCTTACTTTTTATTGCTTATTAAAATAAATAAAAATTATTTGCCTTTGATTAGGAAAATTGATTCTAAAATAGCTCTATTATTAAAAAATTCACATTTTTTTTCTTAGACAATAAACATTCTGTATAATTTTCTTAAAATATTCTCTTATAGGTCGAGAATGAGTGTGGAGAAATACCCACAGTCTTGGTGCAAAATAAAATTGATCTTGTCGACCAAAGCGTGATCGATGCGTGAGTATGCGTTAAACCATTTCTATTGAGTTTTTTTAAAATGAAACTTGCAGATCTGAAGCATCTGATATTACAGGGACGAAGCCGAAAGGCTCGGTCGCACCTTAGGTTGCAAACTCCTACGGACATCTGTGAAGGAGGATATCGGCGTGATGAGCGTCTTCCGACATTTGGCATCCCGATGTTTGCACGAGATGCGTCGCTCCGACGATGACTATCAGGATGATTTGAGATTATATTCTGCAGAACCTAGATCTCCTTCTGTCATCAGTAAGTAGTATTGCAAAATTCGTATTGTAAAACTCAATTGTATTGCAAAAATCCGTAATTTGTCTACAGTATAAATGAAGTTATATCTTTCCTTGTTTTACAGGTGCGTTTAGTCCGGACGGGTCAATGTGTGGTCGTAACACCAGTAATGGAACGATAATCCTTCGACCCGGTGGCAAAACGAAGAGTCATAAGAAACGAAATTTCGTAAAGAACGCTTGTAGACTCTTGTAGCAATAGTGTACGTAATAGCATTACATTGCGTTTCGAGTGTTACACGAAGACGTCAAAGGTACGGGTGGTGTCTTGTAAATATATATAGTTTATTCTCTGAAGGCGTAAACGGACGGTGATTTACAGTGTCCGTTAGTGCAAATTTATTATATTTTAATTAACGGCCTGCGATGGTTTCGTGTATAAGAACACAGTACGCATAACATTTGGGAACTCATTAATTTAAACGCAATAGGAATAATCACCATAATTATGCTCATAATGTTAACCAAATGGTTGTAGATTATAAGGTATGGAAGATTAATCGTAAAATATACAACTGTGCGTACTCGCAAAATGCGGATGGGAATAGTGATACGAATATGACGCGTAATTTGTAAATATCTCGCCATATTATCGTATATATGTTTAATGAATTATTAATCTTTAAATTGCATTGTATTCAAGGACCAAATTATGAAATTAACATTTCAATACAAATGTAGCGTTAAATAATGACAATAATAATAATTATTATTTACAGATTAGCGCGTCGATATTATTTCAAAATATAATAATTCAAGACCAACTCAACTTTATAAAATATTTAAATTCATTCTGAATTAAATTTTGAAATTAGGTAAAAATGCATTTCAACATGTATTGTGATTTAAGGCTTTTGTTTAGCTCTTTAATGTAGCTATTGAATTTTGACGTCAAAAATGAAAAACCATATGAATTTTTTTCACGTATTTCACTTCTGACGTTATAATTCAATTGATTGTAGCGAAAATATAGGAGCCTTAAGAACAAACAAGTTGATGTGAACTACAGTTTCCTAAAGCAATAGTATGTTACAATATAAGTTACTTAATAACTAATGTTATATTTTTACTTAATTGTATTACAGAACACAATAAAATCTCTGTACATTTTGCTAAAATTATTTTTGAAATCTTAAGAAGAGGAGTTATAAACGAGGAATAAAGAAAAGAAAAATTTAAATCGATCATTCAAGATATAATTAAGGAGAGATTTCGCTTTAGAAGCTTGATTTTTAAGCTATTTTTCACGAATTTTTTTTCTGAAAAATTCGTAAGGTTTATTCAAATCAGGGTTGTTTCTATATATTAATACATATTTTAAGTATCTTTTAGAATTTTTTTATTATTTATTTTGTAATTTTTCCAACAAGTCTTATATAATAGTTTATGTAAGTGATTATGATTTCTCAAAATCTATTTGAACAATCGCGCCCAAATTTTGCACATATAGTTCTCGTTTGAACTATAATAAAATCAAAATGTTTATTTTTATTTATTTTACAGCACTTTAAAGATGAAAACATCGAAACATTCGAAAATATCGAAAAATAATTTTCATAATGACACCATTTTTTTTTCTTTCTAATATTTTTTAATATGATTTAAGAATCTCTTCAGTTTTTTGTTTCAAACGAGCAGAACATCCGCAATCATAATCATCGTGTAGCGCCTTATTTTTCTCATGATCTTACATAAGCCGTTATATAAGGCTTGTTTTTTGGAAAATTATAATAAAAAAATTCTTATAATAAAATTAATTAATTAATTCTTATAATAAAAAAGATACTTGAAATATGTACTAATATGTACACACAATCCTGATTTGTATAGACTTTACAAATTTTTCAGAAAGAAATTCGTGAAAATAGCCTAAAATTCAGCTTCTAGACCAAAATCCTCCTTAACAGAATTTTTCAAATCATCAAAAAATCAATTTTTGACAATAAAATAAGATAATTTAATCATAATACCATTCTTATTACACTCTACTGAAACTAATCAGTAGTTAAATGTCTCACAAAGTAAATAAATCATGTTAGAGTGAGTGTAAAGAGGCCTTTTACTTTATATTTGTTAATATAACATTCAAATAATATTTAAAATTTTATAAGTGCAGTTGTACACATCCTCTAGAAATTCCTCTTTATTTTAAACGTACAGATTTGAAAAATGTCTATCGAATGCTTTTTTAACTCTTTTTTTATTTTTCTAAGTTGCTGAAATGCCAAGTGTCTTAAAATATGCTTAGGAATTGTATAAACGCCGAGAATCGATATCGCGTCACTATAAGATTAAATCCAATCAATCACATGTTGTTGCATTCTGTACACAGCCAAGCGTTCCATTTGAAGTAGCTATTTGCAATATGGAAGGAAAATGGAAACTCAGCCGCGCAGAAAAGATGTAAAGAATATATCTTTCCCAATTGTCTCTTAATTCGCTAAACAGCGCTAGACCGTCGAAAAGATTCGTCATTTAAGACTCGTATGGAAATTCAGACAAATTTAATTTGCCGAGGAACCTCTTGGTGTTATTTACTGTGTCATCTCTAAGATGTGCATCTTATCGATATAATCGAGCAATCCCTGCAATCTTTTCTTGACTCTTTTTTGATCGTCTAACGTGCATCCAAGAATTGCGGTCTCGAAGATCTTATCGGAATGTCCTATACTATGGGAGGAGCAAGCATTCATAAATTCTGCACATCGCTGTCGAGTGCCATTTGGATCTTGTCGCAAGCCTACGACTAAGCTATCAATCAGGCCATTAACCTACATTAATATAACCAATTAGTCATTGAATTCTAAAACTATACACTATCGCTCAAAAGTTTAGAGAACCTTATAATTTTTAAATAAACCATGTTTTTTATAGATACAATTATTTTATTGAAAATATCGACATATATATATATATAAACGTACATTATTTGAGTAGAGTTTAAATTTAAAACAACAACAAAATAACATATATATTTGATGTTAGACAACAAAATTTATTAATTGTCTTTTCACAGAAGAACAAGCAATTTTAGACTGTTTTTCAGTTAGGACATTACACAGAATATTACATTATGTTCCACTGTGTAAGATACTTATTGAAACACAGTTTAGTTTTATAGTATAACATCAGAATGCATTGTAATCTTCCATTCTTATTCTTATTATATTTATTGTATCAATAATAGATTTATGATTTTTATTTAGACTTCAGTTATAATTTTTTTGGCGATTTTTAAAGGTTTTATTGCAAAATAAGTACCAGCTACCAAATAACTTTTTGAAAGTTGGTGATATATAAAAGTTGGTTGACATATTTTACATGCTCGTACTTAGCTTTTTACAGTGGCGAGCAGTGTAACACTGTGTCACCTGTGTACGTGTTGGAAAACATCTTTAGATTTTATTATTTGACTTTGGCTATAAGTTTCTAGTTTGAAGTTGTTTATATATTTCTCCAAAGATTGTTTTTTGTGTAATGATAAAGTGACTAAAAAATCGGCAAAAAGAACATAGCTTAGTATTGAAATCTATAGTGCTACAATTACTCTATATAAGGAAGGTTATTGTTTTAAACTTTAAGCTCCTCTCAAATAGCATACATTTATATGTTTATGTCGATCTTTTCAATAAAATAATTGTATCTATAAAAAAAACATGATTTTATCTAAAAATTATAAGATGCTCCAAACTTTTAAGCAATAATTGTATCTTTATAAGATATTGTAAATGATCACAAACCTGATGTAATGCTTCCTGTTGAACATGATCTCGTTGAACTGTGACTAATACATCTACAGTGGAACAGCGCATGGATAATCTATCCGCATACCTCAAGATATCATCTCTATCAGCTGAATAAAGGATATGATAATTAAAGATATGTTTTTAATAATATATCAAAGAAAATTGTTAATGTTTAAGTTGGGACATAGATATTAAAATAATTCTAGGTCTCTTTTCAAAAATCGTTCTGAACTAATATACACTGATGCAACAAATTGGAATTAAATTAACTATTAAGCTTTCCAACAAGAGACAGTTTAACACAGTAATCATTTCATCGTTGTTTAACATTACTAAGTAAAGATATAATGATTCACTGTCTCTTGCTAGAAAGTAACCTATATTTGTTATTCCAACTTATTTTTTTCTAAAAAAAAATAACACTGTTCACCAAGTAATCTATATAATGATTTATTCTATTACCTAAATACTTCGTCATATTTTTTTCCACAATTAAAGGTGATAATCTTAGAAATACAATAAATTAAAACATACATGTAATACAGAAAATGATATTAAATTAATCACAGAATAAAAAACTTCTCACATCGAATAGTATACCTCTCTTCTTTTTTTTTTGTCCTCTTTCTATCATTCCAATTTAAATTAAGCCAAAATATTGTGAGGCATTCCATTAAATAAAGTGAATTAAGTCATCCACTCACGTTCCTCGAGGGAGAAGAGCAAATCGTTATTCCTGAGGGTGTCCAAGGTCGTCAGCAGACCATCTTTTTCTTCCATGAGCCTGGCGGCATCCTTTCGCAGTTGCTCTACATGGGCCTCGATGTGATCCAGCAGACCGACTAACCTGTCTTTCGGTTTCTGCTCGTTACTTGGTTGCTCCGCGCTTTCCATGCTGCGTTACCTCGTCTAGCATCGACTCCCCGGCGAGATGAGACGGCCTAATTGGATCCTCAACGACGTCGATGCAAACGAGATCGCGTGCGCACCTGTCTGACTGATCCTGTTAACTCACGCGACTGCGTCAAGATTGGTCGAGAGAGTTAAAACTAAAACACATAATCCGTATACCGTTCGATTATGTTTAACGCTAAACGCCGCGTGTCCTACGTTCTAATCAGCTTGGCTCAACTCTAATGACTCGATGTGAAGTCATATAAATATAAGTGCGACGAAAACCGGAAGCAAGAGAGATATCTTGCGATTACTGACGATTATAAACACGCGGATCTGCTTACGGTCTGTTAATTATTTCCTCTGTATACAAGTTAATACGAATGAGATAACTGAAAGAATTGATGAATCAAATTTTATATATAAATGTCTATATGTCATTAGATTTGTACCCACTAGTATCTCAAAATAACTGTATTCGTCGACATTAACCTCTTTTGTTGGAATGTTTCAACCTTTCAAATTGTGAGCAACATGTATCCTACTTTACCGATGAAACAGCCGATAAGAATTTAAAATTTTTCATGTAAATGTGTTCTGATAGTTTTGTCCATATCTGTATATATATTATTTCCGTCGACATCTGTATATATATTATTATCCATTTTTTTTTTGAGAAATTATTATACAGTTTGTCAATTTCCCATTTCGAATTTAATTGCTGATTTGACTTTGACTTCCAAACTAACCTAAACTGAGTGATCCCATCGCATCGTTTCTTTTCTTTTTCCTGAACGAGCGTGCGAGATCAACGTGCGTTCGAAGTAAGATGTGTCTCTGAATTTATTTTGTATCCATATCGTTTGCATGTCATCGTGTACCGTTTTTTAACACGTCGTTTCGCGTTCGCTCGAAAAATCACGTTGTTTTATATATCCTGAATCATTTTGCGTTCTGTTAAGTGTTTCTCATTAAATTTTTATTCCATTTCAGGTCCATCTAATTAACACTAATCGCAACAAAATATGGTGAGTAAAGAAATATTTGCCGTTTAACCTCGACATTTTGCACGTTTTTGGATAACGCATAAAAATTTCACTGTTTTATCTTATTATGCGTGTGTTGACAAGCTAGATTTATCATCATAACCTCTCTTTTTCAAAACAAATTTCAAGTTGATAAATGCGTCAAAAATATTGTTTTCAGCCACGAGAAATCAAAGAGATCAAGGACTTTCTGTTGAAAGCCAGGAGGAAGGATGCTAAATGTAACATATTTTTATTAATTCAAAAGTTTCTTCTTTCTTGAGTCTCATCTTATATGAACGTAATTGATTCTTCTGTTCTTTCTGCAGCTGTAAAAATCAAGAAGAATGCAGACAATGTCAAGTTTAAGGTCCGCTGTTCTCGATTTTTGTATACCCTTGTGATCACAGACAAGGAGAAGGCTGAGAAACTCAAGCAATCCTTACCACCAGGTAAAACATGATTTTTTTCATGTTTAAAATTGACAATCTTTTTATCATTTATAATGCTCCTAATTGTACTATTTTAAATAACAAATTTACAAGTAAGTTTCAATGCAATATGAATATTTTTTTAGGTTTACAAGTAAAGGAAGTAAAGAGGAGTGAACGTGTGTAAAATGATTAAATAAACGATCTTTTAAACATGAGTCTTTCTTTTAATTTCCTTATTCTAGAGTTATAAGAATTTCATATTGCGTTTCGACGAAGTAGCAATTTACTATTTGTCTTTTTGTTAGAACATGAATGTCCTGACAGCTCTTTTTTTTAAAAATATTTCTCAGGAAAAGATATACAAGTGCACTCCATATCGCTTATCTTAAAATAATATTATGTAGTGATAGAAAAATTTGAATTAATAAAAAGAGCGATTTTAAACGCAACATAATTTTTCCTGATTATAAATTTGCAATTCACATCTTAATTGTAGTACAGAATAAATGCGACATTAGTCGAATGTGACAACTTAATTATTTTTTTTAAAGAACACATTTGACACAAATGTCCTACCTTTCTTAAGCATTAAATGAATAAAAGATCAACTTGTGTCGATTGCATCGCTTAAGAGGAAGAAGCTATGATAGATTCTAAGCCTCTTTTTTTTATCTAAACGTATACGTCAAGCGGGAAAAATTGTTTTTTCTATTCTTAAGTGCTTTCTCTTTATAACCAATTACAAGATTAGAAGTCAGAAATTATATAATTTTTCCCCCTCATGTTATACACTTAAATAATTTTTTCCTCACATTATACATTCAAATAAACCTATTCTTTTACTACGTCAAAATTTGCGCGCACACACGTTCATTAATATAAATATCTTGGAAACTCTTTAGTCTTTCTGTATTAATAAATATACATGTAGGTGTATATGCTGATTAATTTTTTTGTCTTATTTATACGGACTCTCTTCACTTTCTCGAAAAAGTATGTGCATACCTTACATACTTTTATTATTGTAATAGCAAATTATTCATATTTTGATATATTTCTTTTTGTTTCCCTTTCTTTTTTTTTTGAACCGCCTTCCATTTTTTATTGTAGAACTACGAACTATATATATATATATACACACATACATGTATATATATATATATGTGTGTGTGGTGTGTGTGTGGGGGGGGTGTGTGTATATATATATATGTATATAAATTTTGTTTGAATAAAATAAAGATTGGGGTTTCGATATTCTTCATTCATCACATTCATGATAAGTTGCCCTGCAAAAAAGTTTTCATTTTTAATACAATGTAATTAGAATATATAATAATGGATATAATAATCGATTAGAAGTAATGAAGTACCTTTGTTTGTCTTTATTACGTTTCGATAATCTCCTTCCACGGGGTTGTGTAGATAATGTGTACCGTTTAGTATGTACCCGATTTGTTCTGAGTTCCCGCATTTCGGAGGTCTTCGCTTTTTCTAACTTTTCCATAAACTTTGCAATGAGTTCTGGACAATTTAGATTTCTCTCCGGTTCCCACGTGTCATCAGACACACTGAATCCTTTCCATCTGATTAAAAATTCTTTTGTGCCATTTTTCTTAAAACGTACCTCTATTATTCTTTCGACCTCAAATTCCTTTGAGATCTCTTTTTCTTCTCCACTATTTTCTTCATCTGGAAGAAAGATATAAATGCATAGGATTATTATTTTCATAATAAATAATATTTCAAAATAGATTACAAATAATGATATAACGTACCAATTTCTTCTGTTTCTTGGATTTGTTTCTTGGGAATACTTCTGGAAGATCTTTTAGATTTCTCTGTCTTGACCGGTTTTGATAATTTAAATTCTTTTTCTTTCTCTTTATCTTTTTCCTCGGCTAAAAAATCTTCTATCAACTGAGAACAATTCAAATCCTTTTCATTTTCCCAAGTGTCGTCATTTTCCCCGTAACCTACCCATCTCACCAAGAATTGTCGACGGCCTTTAATGGTACGAACATTGATGAGCCTTTCAACCTAAAAAAAAAAATTTTTGACATTTTTAACAAATAAGGAAACAAGTATTTGAAGCACCGTCTACAATATGCAGAATAAACTTAGTTAAGTAAAAGTAAAAAAATTGATCAATCAGAGTCAATTATTCTTTTCACATTTGAATGTGATTGGTCAATTTCTTGATCTTACTTTTTACACCGCAGCTCTGCATATTATGTTACAGACAACACATTAGATTTTCAATGTCATAAAAATGGATTCAGTACTGAAACTATTCAATGCAGCTAAGTAGCAATTTAATGTGATTAGTTGAATCTAAAGGTAAGAACCAATCACATTGTTACTTAGCCGCTTAAAGAGACTAAAACTGTCTGTATTACCGATTCAAGCTTATTCTAAAATTTACTGCTAGTACTGAGTCTAGAGTGCACGTGACATAAACTATAGATTTTCAGCACTGACAGTAAATTTTGGAACAATCTCAATAGGACTTACACACGTATGATTTACATATCGCTACACACTACATCAATATTGTACGCACACGTACAAGTTTCTACCTAATCTTTTATATTAAATGTTTAAGCCTAATTTTAAGACCACAATATTATTTGTTCATGTAACCTCTAGTTCAAAATTGTTTTATATTGTACATACATAGCATAAAACACTTGTATAAAACAAATATTATTGTCAACAGAAATCGATAACAAAACTGTAATTTTCTAACTTTCCTTCGCTTGTGACATAAAGTCAACCGATTTGGACATTATCGTTATTGGTTGTATTTTAATTGTGGTAGAAGAATTTTTACATCTCTAAAGACAGTTAGTAAAATACTAATATTCGAAAAATAACTCATAAAACAGACTTTAGGATCCCCTTAATGAATAGTTGTTGTATCGCATTATTATCATTAATTATTAATTATTAAATATCTATGTCTTATATTATACAGAAATATCTAAAATTCACAGACAATTGAAATACAATAGTACGAAAATAGTTAAAACCTTAATTTTATAAATCTTTATTTTTAATATTTTTTTTTCAAATGCAATCAAAGAATTTTTGAATATTCAATACAATTTGTAAAAAGTTCGTTAATCATTCCTGTTGTTAACTTCATGTATATGGCGCGCATTTCTTTCCGCGCGGTAATATTTGTTGGCTGGAAAAAAGATGATACGCGATTGACCGATGATATTCGTCGTAAACAATGATAAACCTATCCGAAAATCAATTACTCGAAAATTGAAATATATTTAAACATAATAAAAAGGAAATTCAATTATTTTGTGACAATTTTCAATCAATAAGTGATTTACTTTCAATTTAAACGTAACTAGCGTTCTACGACGCGAAGGTAGGAAAATGTTGCAAGTAAACACCCGCCATACCTCATATTCGTTCTCGGCGTCGAACTTGTCGCGGGCCGAGGTAGACGCTCGCTGGTCTTCCTTCTTTCTACGCTTATTCGGTGACTGTTTCTTCTCGCCGTTTTCCCGCTCTTTCGGTTCTATCGTCGCAGAGTCATTATCAGAGTTTACATCGTCGTTCGAGCTCGCCGCCGGCTTCTGCACCGATGCACCGCGCGACGAGCGTCTCTTCGTGGCGGACTTTTGCGCGCTGTTGTTCTTAGTCTTACCGGCCTGCGTCTCGTCGTCGTTGTCGTTGTCGTCACTGGCCGCGCGTGCGTCGACATTTTCTTCCGGCTCGCTATCGCTCGCCAGTTCAGATTTTCTATGCTTGTTCTTCATACCGAGCCGTCGCATAATATCTCTCACGGTGCTGTTAGCGTGCAAGCAGACTTTGAATCTTGACCGGTCCTACAATTCTCTTGACAACTATCTCTCTTTACTATCACCAATGGCACCACTCGGCCTCTTGCTTCTTCTTCTTCTCCTCCTCCTCCTCCACCCTCCTCCTCCTCCTCCTCCTCCACCTCCTCCTCCTCCTCCTCCTCCTCCTCCTATTCTTCACCACCCCCTCTTCAGCCCCTTGACGTTTTCTCTCGGATTCTCTCGCGTTCCGCTGGCCTTCCCCTCGCTTGCAAGTACCAGCGAGAAGGTAACAGGCCGACGAATCGCTTCCCGCCGCGTTCCGAACTACTGCAAGAAATTTTACCCTCGTACTCGGCAACAATGCGCGCGCATTTCAGCTTTTTACCCACAATACTCGCGCCTCACGCGAGTACACGCACACCCGTACACGTCCGTGTATATTATCGTGGAGTACCGGCACAATACAGAATTGACGAATCCGAACGAACGCTCTTCGGGCGGGACTTTCATGCGCATGCGTCGAATGCGTCATCGATCACGTGATCGACAGACCCGTATCAAGACGCCACGCAGAGGCGTCCATTTTTGGGATCCGTTTACGGTTAAATTTTGTTACATTTACGTTAATAATATGTCACAAAACGTTACTTATTCTTTTTCATCACGGGGTCTATAACTCATTCTTTATTGCAGCTATTATACTACGTGATTGAAACAATATGCGCACTGCATGTCGAGATAAGCTCCGATAACAGCCTGTTCTATTTTTATCTAAACTTACTCGTACGTATTCTTTCCTCCCTTTCTCTCCAGTTGGAAAAAAAAGAGAAAAGATGAAGCGTGCAAACTCGGCTAAAAAGAATAGACCTGATGGCGATCTTTGAACCGCAGATCGAGTGTAGTTCGGACAAACCGATCAATCTTCACGGTCCTGAAAGATCGATATCATGTACCTTACGAATTCCATTATCATTTTTGACACGTAATTTTACTGTTAACTACATGAAGTACCGTTAGTTTGTCTCTCCGTGTAAGATTAGCTGAAATCGGTAATTTACATAAAAAAAAATCGATTACGGTCAACGAGTTTTGTCCTAACTAGAAAAACATGTTGCGATAACATCGAAATGGCATTAAAATGAACAGTAAATGACTGAAAAGTAACTTTTAGTGAGCATTTTGAAATCATTTTGATGTTATGATTTATGCTTTCCAATTAAGGAACATACCAAATTAAGAGAGACTTCATTTTGACGTCATGAAAGTTAAAATGATATTTTATTATAAAATTTGACTTTATTGACGTTAAGAGTTAAAATAGTCATTTTGATTTTGTTGATTTTTGTATTCTTTGAGTTAGGTTAATGAAAATCCTGCAAGTAGCAGAGTCGATTTTCAGATTATCGATTTTAATTATCAATCTCTGTATTCAATTTTAATAAAGCTGATGTATTATTTACGAATTAGATTTGCTTATTTTTTTAGTGCCTTGCACGTATAAATGCAAGTTCCGAGGAATATATTAATTGATTTCTAAATTGACCTACTTTTTTTCTTCTCTCGGACGCGACTTAAGCAATGCACATAGGTTCTTTATCATTGAACTTCTTGCACGGTTTATCATTCCCCATTCTTTTCACGTTGGAGAGAAAAAAAGGAGAAACCATATACAAAAAGTTCAGCTAAAAAGAATAACAGATCTATGATTTGAACGACCTGGTTGTATTTTGATTTTTTAATGTCAGCGACATGTAATCACTCCTAATATTTATTCGCTTTATCCGCCAATAAGTACTCCTACATTTTCTTTTATGTTGCCGAAACTGACAGAAGCTATATATCGTCTACTGGATTGACTTCCGGTTGACTTCCCCTCATCCCCGTGATGAGTAGGCCCTATATTTACCGTTCGTTTCAATTACACTCTCTGCACTTTGTTTCTTCTCCTTTTCTCTCCCTTCGAAGCTCAACATATGCATGCTTTCTTTGTTTCCGACGTAAAAAGTACAGAAGAGTGTAGTTGAAACGATGCCCATTTTACTTAAGTGCGTCGCAATAAAGCTTGTCGAGAAGACCGTATGACCTTTTTAGCGAATTGGTGAAATTGCTAAATGAATAATGAGTCGCTGTCAATCGTCGTTAACGCGAAACAAGATTTCGCTCAGGACGCAATCGATTCTAGGCTATAATTCTACTGTACCTTTAAGAACGACGTCTCTACCGCTGCCGGCCTTTACGTTAGACGGCCATGTTGATCATGGTTATTACCGGAAGACAACAGTGCAGTTTGAATTCGTCATCGAATCGATATATATTAAATGGCGGCACACGAATTTTAGCTGATTCACGATAATGCGAGGCGACGCCCCCCCCCCCCCCCCTCTTTTAAACTCATTGCTTTCATAATTAATCGCGGTGTCCGTTCTGATATAAGAAATTTGAAAATAAAAAAACAAAGAGCAATTTATTCAAAAGCACTGGAGGCACCCTCTTTCACGTACGTCACTTCAAAGATCGAGTTTGGAGGTCGATTGTGTATCTTGAAACGAGGTGAAAATTACAAAAGTGAGCAAATTCGCTAGATGTATATATGTGTATGTGCTGACCAAAAAAATTATAAATATTTCAGTAAATTTGCATACTTTTTTTTGTATTTTTCACCTTGTTTCAAGATAATCGATCCTCTGATCCTAAGAAAAAGCTTAACGAAATATTAATTTAAAAAATTAAATTCGATTTTGATTCTGTTAATTTTTTCAAGGCATACTTTCAATCGATCGCATTCAATCCTTCAATTGACATTGACTTATTGGCAAAATTATTACTGCGGTAAAAAATTTTTCATATATGAATATGTATTAATATGTATAAACATACGTAAATATTCATACATGTATATTGTATGAAATATGTCCATACATGTTTATACATTCCTCTCTTTTATAAAATTACTTTTTAGTGTAACAGAAATAACAGTAATAATGTGAAAATATAAAAAATAATTAAAAGGATAATTTTTACACTATTTGTTTTAGAAAATATTTAAAACAAAATTACTTATGTATAATTATATATAAAATTATGCATAATTGTGTATGATAAAAATTTTTTACATTTTTCCAAACTTGTTTTTTTCTAAAACGGACAATGGGAAAATTATTCTTTTAATTATTTTTGATGATATTTTGATTTACTATTATTATTTCTATTATAACACTAAAAAATAATTTTACAAAAGAAAGAGGGATATATATGAACATGTATGGACACATTTTATACATGATTATACATGTTTATGAATATTTATGTATGTTTATATATATTTATACATATTCACGTATGAAAAATTTTTTATCGGGCATGATAATATTAACTATACTATAATTACACTAGAAATACCCATATTTTTTATTAATTATAAAAAATATCAAGGATCATAAATATTGTCATGAAAATAAAGAAAATGATGAAAAATATTTCAATATAAAGAACACAATTATTAAAAAGTCCAAATATTCCAGAATGATATCTTTTATATTAGAAACATAATATTAATCTAAAAAATAGTAATGATCAATTATGATTAATTATGATCGGTATTTCTAATGTTAAAGAAATATCATTAATGGTTTATTAAACTAAAGCGAAATTTATTAAACTTCGCATCCGTTGTTCAAAAAGTATGTTGAAACTTCGCAATAACACACCAATTTCAATGATTTCGATTGCCTCGCTGCTCTCGCCTTCTGTCGTTGTCCTGACAACGTTGCGATCAAATCGTTTATCCAATTCGCGACTTGTAGAATAATATCTTTTGCTTCCTCTTTCCTAATCCATTTTCTTTTCATCCGACTTCGTTTTCATTTGTTGTTCGTCAAATGAATTCTCATCATGGCCAAATTCGTGAGTACTTATGAAAAGCCTCTGCCTCATATCGGTCTGTCGGATTGGTACACCAAACAATGGGAGCTTCGACAAAACTCGAATGTCAAAAGATCCGAGGCTTGTCGGCTATGCAATTCGAGCAAAACCACTCGTTCCGAAGGGAACGTGACAACGAAATGGGACACCTACATAAACGATGCTCGAATAACAGACAGGTGACTGCAAGTACTCTTGACAAATATTACAATTAATCTATAGTAAAAATTCAAGCAGATCAAGCCATGATAATGTCAAAATCGTTATTGATTGGAAAGTTATTTTTGGTAATCATCTTGGAGCTATTTTGATATTGTAATAACTTGCTTTGCATAGGAATAATAAAGTTGCAATTGATTTCATTCAGTTACTTTTTGGGAAATATACATCTCCAACATAATTTTGTCTCGTCAGAGTGTTAGAACTATCGAGATGGAAGGACATCCTCGATGACTTGCTGCAAAAATTATTAACTGAGATACGCTTATTAAGTGACGAGAAAGCCAACACACAGAAGGAACTTGAAAACATAACTCATCCTCTGCGTATCGCCAGCGAATGCATCTCAATGAGGGACTGCCGTAGAGAAACCGAACTCACGTACGATGAGGCTGATGTAGAGTTGAAAAAGGAGCTCCGCTTGATCGCAAATATTCATGAAGAATTTACCAAGAGGTGATCAAGCTGATATATGTCATAGAAAGATAATACATTTCCTTTTCCTCTATTCCATTCTTTTCATCTGCTAGAGCACAGACCGCATGGGAAAAGTTAAATTGCTTGGAAGCCCTTAAATTTAGGCTGAGCTTGGACATAGAGGATAAAAACGAAACTATTAGAATAGACAAGGACAATCTCGAATTAGATCCCACTTCTGCAAATATAAGTTACAAATCGAAAACATTAGTCGATAAAACAAGGTACAAAATTTCCTTCTCTTCTATTTGCTGTTTCTGTCCTGTAATCTTTATATCATCAAAATTCGTAACTTGTCTCTTTCCATTTCAACAGGTCAATCACGTACGAGGTTTGGTTGGACCGATGTCGTTGTTCCAAGTTGTCTGCCGAAAAAGAATTGAGTGAATCTTACAATTTTCGTGAGGCTACACGTGTAATGAGGGAACATGCACTGAACGATATTAGAGCTCAACAAGACGCAACAGATTACACTTTGAGGAAGAGAATTTATCAAACGCAAAAAGGCAGAAATGAAATGGCGTGGCAGAAGCTCAAGGTATATATGATCGATTATATTTCTCCAAATTTTAATAAATTTTCATGAATATATATAAGAATAAAAATAAATCAAATAATGAATTTGACAAATACCAAATATATGATAAGAATTTGTTCCTATCTCTTTTTAATGTAAATAGATACAGAAGGAAATGGAAATGTTGGGAAAAGAGATAACCCAGTTAGAAGCAACACTGATGAATAAAATAGGCGTGGTAAAATGTGTCGAAACGCGATTGGAAAACCGAATTTATCGGCCTGGCTCGGAACATTGTAAGGACGATGTGGAATCAGGCTTGAAGAAGGAAGCCTTGCAATTAAAACAGACTGAAGAAGATCTAATTAAAATGATCGAGCATGCAAAGTATGTATCTTATATTGCTAATTATTACACGCATTCTACAATAAGCCATAAATTAGAAGCTGGAAATTGACCAATCACAGTCGTCAATTTCCAATTTCTAATTTATAACTAATGGTTTATTGTAGAATGGCCATTAGATTCATCAACTGCATTCGGAAGAAGAAATAGCTTTACAACTGTTATAAGATTCTTTAATTGATTACATATTTATATCCATTTAGAAATTAAGGACCATAACTGAGTTGACTAACTAAAAGTACATTAATTTTACATTCAATATAATACATTGTATTGCATAATGGTTATATTGCTGGTGGTGAAATTAATGTTATGTTACTTTTAGTTGATATAGGCTGGGAGAATTATATTTAAAAAATCTTATAATGCATACGCACATGCACACATACATCTACAGTTGCAAAGCTGTTTTTTTTTTACTAAATACAGTCATTAAAATTATTTGCCATTTCTTTTTCTTAAGTGCAAGCTTTAAACTTAATTTTCTAGAACAAGCTACAATAGTCTGGAATCTTTGCTTAAACGGATCGACAACAATTTGGAAGACAAACAGCATTCTCTGAACACCGACGTTATGTGCCTGGACATGAGAGCACCACTAAAAACAGGAGACAGAGCGCGTTTACCTAATGAGACGAACCGTAATATCGTATTGTCACACATGGAGAAAGAGATTCCGTTGGAATCTTAACCCTTACAATATCATGTTCAATTTGATGCCTCATTTCTACCATCTTGAATCATTAGAACCCGTTCATGTTTTCACCTATTTAAAATAGTTCAAGAAAATCTTTAAAATTTCACAAACATACATTCAACTTTCTAGAACAAATGTTTAAACTTCATTTTGGAAAATAAAATGTAGAATACGTTATAATTATTGAAAGATTCATAAGTTAGGAAAAAGTAAGGAATCACTCGGTCACTAAGGACTCATAATAATTGAGCACGGTTAATTCAACTGCCCCATTTCTAAAATATGATTTTGTAGACACTGTCTTTAATGCTTAAAAACTTGCCAATCTCCATCTTTGTTTAAATATATTACGCAAAAAAAAACAAGAATTTCGATTGAAATTTGATAAATATTAGGAAGTGTTTGCAATACTGTTTATTCAGATATAGTGAACACTACGGTCACATTGTATGCCTTCCAACTTCCAACAAGTGACACAAATGACACGGTGTGTCACAATGGATCATTACATCATTGTTTGCCAATGTTAAACAAAGGATGCTTTCCAATTGCAATATTCCTAGACATTTTCATGCACACGGCGATACAAGTTGCGTGTCCGTTATTGTCGACACAACGCTACACATTTGTACTCAGTCGAGGGCTGTGTAAGCTTGATTTTCTAGTGACAATTATATGTTATTAACTGCGGTGGCTATAAATAAGGTTGGAAGATGTTGAGTGGCCGGCACTTTTACTTTTTTTTATTTAATATAGGCGGAAAAAGCCTAGGCTACATTTAAAGGGGAAAAGTATAGGCTACATTTAATCTAACTCTATTTGAAACGAATCTCAACCATAGTGTACACATTGTTCCAATTGAATCGTGCACAATGATACACTTTGTGCATTCCTGTGTACATTTGTGTTAAGATATGTTAAGCAATTGAAAAGCACCCAATGATGATTTGATTACTGTCACACTGTGTCGCTTAGAAGGCATACGTTATCTTCTTCTTAACAACTGAATGACGAATTCGATTGGAAGCACTAGTGCGCATTTGTTCATATTAAAGCTGTTGTACATTAATTTAATTTGAATATAAAAGTGCAAATATTTCGAATAATAAAACACATAATTACCTAATAGTACAATAAAATGATGTATTGAGTATCTCAGGATTTAATAGATTTTTATGTTTATGTATAAACATATCTTTACATTATTTTGTGTATGCTGACTTTAATATGCACTGAATGCGTCCAATCAAATTCGCTGTAATTGAGAAAAGAATAACGTGACTTTAGTGTTTACCATATCTGGATCCATGCTATTGCAAGAACTCCCTTTTGTCAGCTTTATAAACCTAATCGAATCTAACCTTACACATAAAAACCTTACCAAATTTCATTTTCCATTTATATCTTGAGAATCATTCTCATGTATATTTTTTTTTACGAATCCTGTTGATTTCTGAAAAGAAAATTTATATTATTTAGAAGAATTATAATTGAGAAAAGATTTATAAATTTATGAAACCTGACAAAACCATATGTCCAGGCACGATAAAATCGATTGAAGTAATAGACATCTGTCGATAACGTGTTTGAGCAATTCTTGATGTTAGATGTCGCCAAAGCGCAGAACAGACGGTGCTGCCCTCTGTGTGGCAATGAAATCACGGAAGTGGGAGGGGAGGGAGGGGGAAGTTATAGAGGAGGTCAGAAGAGGGCACTAGTATATTAAAATTGCGACTGCTTACAGAGAGATATACTATTTCGCATATATTTAAATTACACAACACACAAATTACAGCGTAAACATTATAGACAGACTGTAAGAAGTCGAGAATAGGAGGTGCGTACAAATTTGATTAGCGCGCTTCGGAGCGGGCTCGTCGACTCTATTGCTGCGTATCTGCAAATGAGGTATATTTCACATTTATATATAGTAATCGTAAAGTTGATCCAACACGCAGACAAGCGGGACAATCGCTATTAGCAAGGGAAAGATGAAGGAGAACGAGATGGAAATGAAAAGACGGAGAGAAGATACGAGGAGATGAAAGATCTCACACAGCATACTTCATCCGAGAGACATCCTGGGAATATTCTTAGAATGATATCTTCTGGACATTTTTAGGAATACGTCTCGTTTCATACATGATGTATCATTTTGTCCTTTAATAATCGGTAAACAACAAGGATAAAATAATACATCATGCATCACGCGTAAAATGGAACGCACTTCTAGATTTTATCCTTGTTGTTTAGGAATATTAAGGAAGAACAAAATTACGCATCATCTGTGAAGAGAAACGCACCCTAGGACTTCCCTTAGAAGTTTGTACTGTATGGGAAGATCCACGACACGTTGTAGGCAATGAAAGAAAGGACAGTAAACGACGATGACGATAACGACTCGAGGGAATCAATTTGGAAGAATGCGGTGACGAGATAGGCGGATAGACAGATATAAATAGACACATTACTTCGTTTTCCGTCTAACGTTCGTAACTACGTAACTACATAACGATTCGATCATTTAGTTATTATAATGATCGCGCGTTGTATACAAAGCGACGACTACGGACAGAATTTTTGGCCTCCTGCGCGCGCTCCCGAGGTGGGACATGCTTGTTGTGCTTGTATCGGAACGTAACGGAACGTCCAGATACGCGAAATCGCTTTTCGCCGACGCCTCTCTTTCTCCGCGCGTCAGGGACGGATGTGAACTTTTCGAGACCTGAAGCTGGATAGTCCGGTTTCCTAGCGATAACGTGTTAAAAAGAAAACAAAAGATACATCTTCGTCTCTACAATTTAAAATATTGGTTAATATTTTGAAACAAAATTATATCTTTCACTGGAGTGCTTAGATATCGGGCCAAGTCTTTAAACATTGAAAATACCAATATTTCTTACTGACTGAAAGGATCAAGTGCGAGTAAATTACTATGAAAATAAAGAAAGCGAATATTTCATCAGTACAAAGAACACAATTATTAAAAAAATCAAAAAATTTCAGAATCCTATCTTTTACATGGGAAATATAATATTATCTAAAAAATAAATACGGTTAATTACGATTGTTCTAATGTTGAGTTGCATCAGAAGAATCTTTGAGAATGGATATAAAAATCTTTGTAAGTCTCTCTGACGAAACTAACCAACATTACAATCGACTTTATTTTTTATGTTTCATTTAATCCGACTATTAGTTGTCTTGGTCGAAACAGTCCTAAGGTCATAAAAAAGTGCTATAAAAAAAGAAAAAGAAGGGGACAAATCTTTGGATAGATTCTCTTGATAGAAGCATTGCTTGCCAGGCAAGTAGTTATTAAAGCGACAAGATTAAAAGATAATTAAAAGAGAGATAGCAAATATTATTTTAAAAAAACCTCACTATCGAGGTCTCCATCCGACCAAAAAAATGTTCCATATATAATTATATAAAAAATTGACATATTTTATATACAATTATATATAATTAAATATAAAATGTCCATGTATACACAACGCACAACATTTTTTTCCGGGCAGCAATTTACAAGATCAAAAGCTTAAAAGAATTCATTGTCTCCCACGTGAATCCATCCCTGACTATCGCTACAAATTTCGTCTCTTGCATTTTTGCCGCAGAGCGCATGGTTTTAGACGCGAAAGGGTGTACATACATGCACACACGCCTTTTGTGCGAAGCACGGTGAACAACGAGCGATGGATCGGATCGAATCGATCGGAGCACGCGTGAGAACGAATTATTCCCGGCCCATCGCTTCGCGTAATATACAGATAATATTACACTAGCTACATGGCTATCAGATGCGTATCTTCTGCTTTTTCTTGTATTTTTTTTTTTACACGTATACACAAGCGCATACATATAGACTACCGCGCGTGTAGAATACGCATATAAATACACACTCGCATATAACACACGGACGCAACATTCGCCCACACATACATACACGTGCACGCGCACATCGACCGCTATAAGACATCTTATCTCTTCAAGACTACGCGAATTTGTACATAAGGCATCACGATATCGTGTCGTTTCTCACATACGAACGTGATAACGGCAAAGCGTGATACTCGCTCTTCTATCTATCTGTTTCTGCTATCAAGGAGGTTCGGCAAATATCGGGGCGAATTTCGCGTTAGCGACGACTATCGAAATGATGATGCGCGCGGCGCGAGACGCGGATTAAGCTTCTTCGACTCTTAAGCACGATCGTTTACACATCAAACAGGATATCTCGAGTCGCAGCCAGCTTCGAGATAGCGATAATTTCGAGATAGCGTTGCTTTAATCTGGCAAATCATTTCTCGAGGGACTCGACGGCGTCATGAGATGACGACTCGTGTACAGCTTCAAAAAATATATGAATGACGATAGCGGAGCTGCCGTTTGTGCGACAAGTATGTGATTGAATTTTTTAAGTAAATAAGAATATGTAGAAAAGATTGTGAGGGAGAAACACGTGCATGGGAATGAAAAAATTCTTATTATCCGCGAATGCAAATATTTCGATAAAGTATCAAAGGTAAACGTTTGGAAATGAATGTAAAAGATTGGTAATAAAGAACCTGCCTTTTTTAAGACGCGTGTTTTCGCTTTTACTTTCCAAGAGCATTGGCTTCACTTCTCTTCGCATAGACTCGGGCCCATCCGTCGGTGTGAAGTTACGCTATAGTTAACTAAGAAGAACGGGGATTGTATTATCCCTCACTCGATCCGTGAGTGAGTATACAGTACTATGATGAAATATTTCCTCGCGATCACCACCCACACCGAGGATGTATTTCATCATGACTGCTTAACCGAACAGTAGTGAGCGTAACCGAAGCGATCGAGCCGAGATGGCTTCGTTCGAGACGCTTCGAAATACTTCCCTGATATGTATATTGCGAATCGGGATCGACGATCGGGCCTATAGCCGAAACTATAGCGGAATAATCATATATATCGAGGACGATGCAGCGAATTCAATTGCATCGATGATTGCGTAAACGAACGTGAGTCGAAGGTGCCTCCGCGGATCGAAAGTCAATTTGAAAAGATCCGCTAAATTCGTGACTCTCTTTTTGTGACAAAAACGGAATGACGTATGGAAAGAAATGTAAAAATGTAAATACATGCAATGGCTGCATTCGGAAGAAAAATCAGTTTCACAATTATTGTAAAATTCTCTAATATAATTGATTTTTCCCTTGGTTCCTCATTAGATCTAAATCCATATCAATCAATGTCGAAGAATCTTACAATAATTGCAAACCTGCTTTTTCTGCTGAACGCAGAATATACATATTTGCAATACAATGTCATAGATATCGCTCCATTTAGAAATTACGATAATATTTGTGACGATAAACAGTTTTTTTTTTTCTTAATAATTTCTACACGGTTCTAAACTCTCGATGTTCTCCAACTAACAGTTTCGTAAAGCTCCGCGCCTCGAAGCCTGAATGGCGAAAACCACGCAGCGCGCGTCCAACACAGGTAGTCGAGAATGAACGGGAAGTAAAGAGAGGATCTCTCTCTCTCTCTCTCTCTCTCTCTCTCTCTCTCTCTGTCCACGTACTCTCTTCACTTGGTGTGTTGCTTCGGGAGATGCCGCTTCATGTGCAGCGCGAGATGATCGCTCCTGGCGAAGGAGCGCTCGCAAACCGCGCATTTAAAGGGCTTAGCCCCGGTGTGCTTGCGGTAATGCCGCGTCAATTCGTCGCTCCTGGCGAATCGCCACTCGCATTCCGGCCATTGACACTGATACGGTTTCTCGCCTGAAACAGCCAACAAGAGGAAAGACATAAGTGAAAACGTGCACAACGATGCGTGTCTGAGAACGATCGTATAATAATTATTACGACTAATGAGCTGTTGGAATCACTGATTTATTACACTTATTGAATGATTAATTCTTAAGTAAAGATATAACGTGGATAATTTGATTTGTCACTTAATCATTCTCTTCCGAGATATACTCGATTTCAAGAGAGTTTCATTAAATCCTTGATTTCTAATCTATTTTTTTTTTGTTTCTATATGTTTCGAGATACAGTAGTCTTTGTGCAATCGAGTCCTTTTCGCCTATCATTCTACACGAAAGTGCGAAAGCGTATATAGCGTATATCGATATATATGGGGAAGTTTAATCGGTGCGACTCGTACGTCTCACGAGCGAGAAAATTCCGTTCGAGTTTCGAGACGGCGGCGACCTATTAGAGAACAAAGCGTTGCTCTTTGTGAGATAGAGCCGCGGGATGCGGTATACTTAGGTGTATATACCCCGTCGCGCCTCTCAGCTGCGAGAGATGCAGCACGGTGTGACCTTTAACTGTACCTGCATGCCGCAACACGCTCACCTGTATTCTAGCGCAATCGCCCCGGACCGCGCGCGAGTATAAGCGACCGGCCGAATGCAACTGAATGCAGCATTGCAACCGGCTAATGCGAACCAACATGCCCGCATTCCGCTCAGCTTCGCCGATTATCGAGGAATATGCCTTCCTTATTGTTGTTATTATTTTACACGCGCCTGTGGCGTATTATCTTTATAAACGGGATTGAGAGCTCACGCGCGATGAGTGACGTTAAAATTTACTGGATGCTCAGGCCATCGGAATATGGATACGCAATACGCAGATCGGACTTGGAGAATTGACATTTAGAAGGAGAGAGAGAGAGAGAGAGAGAGAGAGAGAGAGAGAGAGGATTTAAATCGTTAAGTCGAATATATAGTTATAGCCGAATTAATAAGAAAATCAAAGAATACCTATCTATCTAGTAAACACAAATATAACGTACGTATATATACACGTTTTTATATCTCTGTTATATGACGATTTTGTGTATATAACTAAATGTTAATAATTTCGCACTCAATATAAATGCAATATATTAGGTCATTAAAAAAATATCCGCGGTTTTTTGTTCAATTTTTGAATGAAAAAACCGCCGATACTTTTTAAATGACCCAATATGTAACGGTTGAGTGCGAAATTGTAACATTGATGTTATACTTTTAGTAAAGGCCAGAGTGCATACATAACGCATAATGCATAAGGCATAAGAAAATCAACCAGTCAGAGTCTTTTATCTCATAGAAAGGAAGGAAATGAAGGACTTTGATTGATTCATTATGATGCCTTATGCGTTCTGCGTTCTGCAAGATTCTGTGCTTCCACCCTTTAGCTGCAAATCAATGTGATGTCTTTTTGTCGGATAATCATTAGTCCAGCGGTGTTATGCTACTTATGCAGCTTATGTCATTTTGTGTGTGATAGCCCTTAAGGGCTTCACACATGAAATGCATAACAGAGTATAAGCATAACATAAGACTGCTGGACCAATGAGTATCTAACATAATGTCGCCATATTGATTTACATAAGATGCTGTGTGTGAAATTCGTCCCTTTAGTATGAATAATATAATATGAAAAACAGAAAGACAAAGGGTTAAGATTGAATTTTAATCTTAGGCTCGTAGCCTTCTGTCTTTCCGTTTTTTAAAATATATTGAGCCTTATTACTATTACAGTTTAATATAATATATATAATCGCTACAATCAAGAACTAGAGAGTGGATCGTCGAGTCAGATTCGACAGATTCGCTTTGACAGGACACTTCCATAATCCTCGAAACGCATCTCGCGCGTTTAAATTACCTACGCGATTCATTGCGATCGAAACTTTAAATATCTCCTACCCCAACAATCGCCTCTTCGAACCGTTCGCGAATTTGATCGCGACGAAAGATTCTTTTGCGATGCGCGAAACGGTGAGTAAAGAAGCGAGTGCTAAGCGAGTAAAAGCGACCGAGGCGAAGGCTCGACGGGGGATCCGAGGGAGGAGGGAGGAGGGAGGGCGAGCACGCACAGAAGAAGAGAAGAAAGAACTCGATAGCTGAGAGATACACCCACGCATCCTTCTAGCTCGTTCCTGTTCCTCTCTCGTGCGCCGTAGGTATACGGCATACGGCATACTGTAGGAGACGACCCTAACCGGTCCTCGCCGCCACGCCGCGCCGCAGAGAGTTGCATTCAGCGCTGCAGCATCACGTCGCACCGTGCCACGCGACGCACAGCCCGAGGAACGGTACTACTATCACGAGCGCTATCCATTTACGGTATCGCGCGCGTTCACGTGAGAATTCTTCTCCCTCGGATCTCCGCCGGCGAGAACGGCGAAATTTCCTCTCGATCTGTCGGCCGACATTGGCAGGTTCATTCCTATTTAAACATTTATCCTGCTGACAAATGATTTCAGAAAACAGATTTTTTTTTATCAATAACAATTTATGATTATTGATTTATTACCCGAGAGTAGTCATTTTTTTACTCGTAAATGATTAGCTGAAGTGTTTTTATATTCTAATTAAAATCACTGTTATTGATAACGTATTGTATACTTGATTGTTTTTTTTTTCTAGTATTTGGAAACGTTATGGATATGGATTTAATTTTTTGAAAAAAGTAAGTAGAAACTATAAATGAATATTAAACCGAATAAGTAAGTATAGCTTATTATGATAGTATTTAAAAAAAAAATGGAGATTTTAATAAATTAATATAAATTAATATATCTTTTATTGCGGCTTTTCAATGGAATTGCATATTTAAAGTAATAAGGAAAATATATTAAATATCCATACAAAATCATATCTTACAATTTATATTTTTTTTGCCGCTAAAGCGTAAAAATATTCGACTATTCTCGAGTGAAACGTTCTAAAATATATAATCTCAAGAAAAGAATAAGAATGAATAGAAATGGAAAGTTAATATAAATATAAAAAATTTATAAAAATTATCTTCCTTTCTGCAATGATATTTTCTAAGTTTAAACTCTCGATAAAATTGATAAATGCAATGCACGTTGGAATTTACGTGGCACGAACTCTGTGTGACGTACATATTATAATATTTGCGACTTTTCGACGACATTTACGCTCAAGGCTTTTATCCGTCTTATATATAAAAGTATTTTTATTTAGAAGAAATTCTCTTCAACATTCTTAACTGCTGGAAGAAACGTAAAATTGCGAGCGTGACTATTCGTATTCTTTGATTCGTGCGATATCACGAAATATGATATTGCATCACGATGTCTCCAGAGTCGATCGGTCGAACCGGTGACACCTACGGGATCTCCAGGCGTCCCCGTTAATTTTGGATCACTTTCACCGAGAGCCGGCAGCGTTCCATTCCGCGGACAAGTTGCTTTCCAAATACGCTTCCTAGCCCTACTTTGATCCAGATTTCTTCAGCTACCGGGCTTTCTCGCAATGTCTGGTTCTTGATTAATCTCTTGATGATTAATGATAGCGCTTAAACTTTGATTTCTTTCAGATCGGAAAAATATTCTAAAAGTTAGAACAATCAAGTATATATATTACATATATTTATATATACATATATATTGTTATATACATATTGTATAATGAAATATCATGAAAAACGAGATGTTTAAATTATTTTCAGTCTAACTAGAAGATAATTTAGTGATTTCTTAATAATTAAAAATTTTGAGAAGATAAACACGTATGAAAAAATGTCAGAAAATTATTAGAGCTTGATAGTTTGATTAATGACGTTCTTTCAATCAATTAATTAGGATTATGAAAGTAATTATAAATTATGTATATTTTTTTTTATGTCGTCATCACTCATAAGTCACATATAAGTCACGATTAATATAAATTATGATTATTCAAAACTATATTTATCGCGTCGACTGAGTGTCAGCTGTTAGTTATCGCATTAATTATAAAGATCATTTTCGTATAATATTAGGTGTTGGAATTAATTCGTAGCGTTTTACAAGTGATGGGAAGTACTTTCATTAATGTATTTTTTAATGCTCATGTGAAATAAATAACATTCTTTCATTAAAAACGCTACGAATTAATTCCAACACCTAATACATAATAATAATTCTAGACGTTAATGAATTAATAACGAAGTCGAACGCACACGCGGCTCGTGACACGGTGCATTCACAGCGGTGCAGCGAGGGTTCATTCACGAGTCGTCCGATAGACTCGCGCGCGAGTGGCGAGTGGCGAGTGGCGAATGGCGAGGGCCACGTGCCCCCTTCGACTTCTCCTCCACGTCGAGTCGATCCCCCCCCCCCCCCCCCGCCTGTATTCGAGAGATCGCGCGACAAATTGAAATATCCTCGTATAATCTCGCATATCGATCGGTTCTCCGTTCTAATCGATCGGCGGAATGTCGTAAGGATTGATCGACGGACAAGATGTACAAGTCGCGGCAAAGTAGCTGGTAGTAAATTAATTTAACTGGTATTGCTGGTATATATATATATATATCTATCTATGCGCGAGCGCAGAGAAAAACATGCCTATTGGATTCAAATGTCAATGGAGGGCACAAAGGCGAGTTTGAATCACTGGCGCATATATATATATGTTATGGTCGCGTGTTAATTTATTTCAATGTGAATCCGTAAGGGTTACATTAGGTAACGAGATGTTTAAATCATTTTCAAATCTCGAAATTGATTAGAAGATAATTTATTAATTAAGTATATAAAAGAGAGAGAATTTCGAGAAGATAAACACGCATGAAGTGAAGGATAAAAGGATTTAGCGTGCGATTGTCTTTTTGCCTTGGTCCTCCTTGCGCGCGTTCTTTGAATCTTTTGAAATTTTATATCGTTCGACCGATTCGTTTCAAACGATGACACGGGTTTACCGCAAAAACTCACCGAGGTATCAATTCGAAAGTGGTACATCGCACTTAAGATGCCTCCGGCTTGCATTCCGCGAGAGACTGCCGCGTAGGCACGTGTGCGGGAAGCACCTCTCTTCGTCCTTTTCTCCGCCCATCTTTATCTCTCTCGCTCTTACGCGTGCGCTCCACGCGTGTGGGAAACTAGCGTGCGTGTCCGTCCAGGTAGCTACACGCGGCAGGCGGTGTTGGTGTCGCGACTCGCGTCCGTGTGTTGGCGAAGCTTGGACGTGGATAAGATGTGGGTCGGTCGCTAGCTTCGCTCTAAGCGAAGAGTCGCATACCACGAGAGCTTCGTGCGTCCCTTACCACGTTTACATATGATAGAAGCGACATTTGCGCCTTTGCGCGACACCGCACGCAAGTAATGCCAGTCGAGAAACTGAGAGATGGAAAAGAAGAGACAGAGAAAAAAGAAAGAGGGGAGGGGGGAGGGAGAGAGAGAGAGAGAGAGAGAGAGAGAGACGGCTGGGGACCGCGCCCTGCCCACACGCAAACGTCGACTACTCGACCTCGCGCTTTCAAACTCTTCGTCTCGCTTCGCGTAGATGAGCTACATACCTAATTACCAGAGAATACACGGAAGCCCCTCCCCCTAATTTGAACGTTCTCCCCTTTGTATTAGCAACCACGTGTACGACGTGAAACGTCAAAGTACAACAGCGTTTTCACTCACCCGTGTGTATCCGCTGATGGGCCTTCAGGTGCGAACTCTTTGTGTAGACTTTCGTACAACCTGCAAAGGAGAACAAGAAATTAGGTCGAAGATCAAAGTTAAGAGTGCGATCGAAACGATAAAGTCAAAATCTTATACGATGTTTGTAAAGTGCTTTATTAACAGAGAGTTTCGATATATGTTTTATTTTTTTAAATACTTACTTGTTAAAGATACTATTAAATTAATAACTGACACAATGATAAAAATATATTTATTGCGTATTTACTCCGATCCACAAATATTGTCAAATTTCAGAAATTAAACATTTTAGTTTAATATTTAATTTAATGTTATACTGACACTAAATAAGTCAATAGTTTTTCTTTTTTTCAATTCTTCAAAAAAAAAAAGAGTTATAGAACAGGAGTCTTAGAGCGGTATTCATAGTCCGTTCTTATTTCAAGACTGTCTTAAGAAATATCTTAAGACGCTAATATGGCCCTCTCTGATTGGTTCGTGACTTCTTGAACTGACTACTTAAGATAGTCTTGAATATAAAATCTGATTACAAATACCGTTCTAAGACTGGTATTCATAGTCAGATCTTATACTCAAGACCGTCTTAAGAAGCAATCAGAGGACTGCATTAGCGTCTTAAGACATTACTTAAGATGGTCTTGAAATAAGACTCGACTATGAATACCGACTTAAGACTCTTATATAACTCTATAATTCTTAACGACATCGACATTGTTATTAAGACTTACAGAATAACAACCTAACAATAAGTTGGACATTAAGGATTCCATATATTCACCTATGAAGTCGCAGTGGTGCACCCGGCGTTTCTCTAATTCCGGGTTATTCCGCCTGTTGAACTTGGTCGACATCGACGGCGGTTGGATCCTGTGAGCCGGATTCAGAATCGGGCCCGGCTGAGGATACGGGGGTGGCGGTGTTCGCCTAGGTGGACCGGCGCCGATGGGTGAGCTGGGATCGGAGATCGGTGGCGTCAGCGGCGAAATATACATCAGCCTCGTCATCGAGCTGTAGAGCGGCGATGTCGCGTTGCCGCTCGGCTGATGATGACTGGTCGTTGACGAATCACTATTGCTACCGCCGTTGTTGTTGCTGTTGTTGTTGCTATTGCCGCCATTGCCGTTATCGTTATTGCTACCGGGATTACTCGCGCTCGTGTTATTACTATTAACAGTCCTGCTGTTGTTGTTATTATTATTATTATTATTGTTGCTGTTGGGAAAGCTCTTGAAAAGCGCCGCCGTTGTCGCCGTTGTTGACGTCGTCGTCCGATGGTGTACGACGTGCTGAACACTAGAGGGATTTGGAAAGGGATTCTGTGAGGGATTTGTGGCCGGTCCCTCGAGAAGATGCAAGGTCGGCGGTGGCGGTAACGGTTCCGTCTTGATCTCCACCGGGGAGAGAACTGGCGGCGGTGTCACATCGTCAGTCTCCATTTTTATGTGAGACTGCGAGCCCAACATATCCGCGTTTTCCGGATCCAACTTTTGGATACTCGACGTGATATCCTCCCAGAGCGGCGGCCTGAGGAAGACGTCGTCGTCCTGACCGGCGCCCGCCGGCTGACTCCTGGAGGAAACGAAACTGGCCTGCGGTGGTCGGCACACCGCCGTAGGTCCGCTGACCTCGAAGAAGTCCTCCATGTGCACGGACGGCTCCCGCGCATCTCTCGCGTCCGATTCATCCTCGTCCAACCTTTGCAAACGATCGAGATCCTGCCTGCACAGCAAAGTGTCCAGGTCCGACGTCTGCTAAGAACAAGAAGAGACATGATTCGTTTATTTAGTTAATATTTCTCAATTTTAACTTAAATTATTACAAAGATGTCAATCACATTGTCTAATTATATAATTTCCTCATCTCAAAAGTGACTGAATTAAAAAAATGTGATTTTTTTTTGTGTGTGTGGGTGAGAGAGAGAGAGAGAGAGAGAGAGAGAGAGAGAGAGTTGAGTTGTATTGTTTTCGTAAATAAAAAAGAGAGACTTCTACAAACATTTAGAGTAGATAATTTCGATGATTAAAATTTGAAACAGAAATTGTTTTATTTTGAATTTAATCATTGTAGTTGATCAAAGTAAATATAAACTGTTGACGATATTTCAAGTTACTTTTGATGAACTATTCCGAATTGTTATAATTTTATAAACTATCAAAATCAAACAAAGAAAGATTATTTTTAAGGATTACGAAACCAAAATAACCAAAATGACATTTGATCATATTTCTAAAAATACATTCTTTTTGTCGATATTATTTAATTAATTAATCATTTCCTTAAGTTTTTTTTGATTATGTCACTTTTATTGAATTAAGGAAACAATGTTTAATACAACGTTATGTTTCGTACGATGTAATCGAATGCTATCTCTTTTGGATAACTTTTTCTTTATTTAATCAGCAATAGATTATCTACGTTTATCAAAATGTTAATATTTTCAGTGCTAATAATAGGAATAGATATGCAATATAAAAAGCTCTTTAGCGATAACTTTTGGAGGAAAAATACATACGTTCAAAGCCCTTCTACTAACAATAATCGATTAAAGTCCCTCTAGGGCTCATTCTAATAACATATAAGATTGTAAAGGGCGCATCTGCCGAGAAGAGAACGGAGGGCGAATGACTTGCGATATGGTGATACGCGCGGCGAAGGTCCCTGGGTCGAGCGTCGTCAACATGCGCAACGCTGTCTCGCCCTACGAAGCCTCCAGCACGCACGAGGAGGAGCGACGGAAGACGGAAAGCGGGATGCCGCGTCATCCTTTGCATGATTTGTACACGAGCAACGCCGCCCTCGCGCCCCATGGTACACCGCTCGCTCGTTCTTCCTCTCTTTTCCTCTCTTTTCCTCTCTCGTCAGGTTGAGGGACGACGAGTGCCACCTCGCTACAGGGCCTTTGATGTATGACATTCGGAGGATTTCTACAAGGGTCTCTCGGATCGACGCATCACTCGTCGCCGGCGATGTTAGGCCTCGATACTGTTCTCGCGCCGGAAATCCGTGTGGGTATCAAAAGCGAAGCTGGGAGACAGTTACGGCATCAGTTTCGATCTTTACGACTTTAACACTTCCGCTGGTATCCTAACTCGTGGCCAAAGCCATGGAATCATACCGAGTACCTGTCGAAAAGGGTAATCGAAGAGATTGGGTTCCTTCCATTTGACATAAGTAGACACAAGTGACGTTTTTTATCTTTGTTACTTACTGAATGTTAAGAAAGGCAGGATGAGATTTGTATCACCTTGTGTATCATTAAGGTGATTCTACATGGTTAATTAATAATACTGTCAGTACTAACAAATACTGACAATATTACTGACCGTGTGATGTTGATGTTGATGAATTGACATATAGAATACTGACGATGACCTGGATTTTAATTTTCAAGCATTAATATCGCTTTATTAGGATCCACGTCACAATATATGTCACAGTGTAACAAATAATGTACGTAAAACAAAAGTGAAATATATTGTCAATAATAATGATCATGTAAAGTTATAAAAATACTATAAATATTGATGCGTACTGCCAGTATTACTGATTCAATATTACCGATCAGTATTATTGACCGTGTAGGGTCATCTTTAAATGGAAAGCACCCATTGTGGTCCGATCTTTAAGATTTCAAGCTGTAAAATGTTAAAGTCTCTTTGTCTAAAATTGAAATTATAAAAGGTGAAAGAGATGTCGTCGAATGTTTCAATGTATCGCGAAGAAACACTTATAGATTCCTTGAAAAATATCATGTGGCAAGCTTTCGAGCTTTCGATCGGGTTTTGCTGCTCGCGCGGCTTGTGCAGCCGCAATGATTTATGAATTATTTACACAATGAATTATTCATCGTCGGAAGATTGGTACACTCGCGACATTCGATCGTACCTGATATGCAATTTGAAAAGGAGCTCGTGTGCGCAAGCGAGATATATGCACGCGAAACATTATACTTAAAAATTCGTATGCTTAAATCGTAGTGAAAACGTTGAACAATACTGTCTTAATCGCAAAGATTTCGCTTTTATAGAAAAAAAAAAAAGAGTATAAATCAGAAAATCTATTTTCGCGGATAGAAAAAAACGGAGGCAAAACCTCGAAAGCGGTTGTAGTCATCAATTCGCTGTAAATGTAAAAAAAATTATTATAAAAGATCGAATAAACGGAGATCTTTTTCGGTGATCCAAGTTTGAATTCAGAAGAATTATGATGATTTGAAAATGTGATCGAAAAAGGTGTAGACAAAACGCCAAGTGTGATTTGTAATGTAATCAGGCCAGCGCTTGAGATTGAATTTGACCAATTAAAACAAAGTTCACTTAAACCTGATTTGGTTTTAAATTCAAGCTTCTGTAACTCTTAACGACAATGATAATATCATTGTCGTTGCACAGGTATTACATATGATAAAAAAGCTGCGCGACAACAATATAACGGTACTGTCGTTAAGACTTCCAGAATAGGAGCCTCTTAGTTTAATATGATGAATATAATAGGCTTTCTACAATAAGCTATTACTTAAGTTTTAAGCCCCAAGTTACAAGAACCACCAATCACAGCCGAATATAAGAAGAATAATCGATTATAATTGATCAATTTCTTACAGCTTAAGACTTATTAAAGCTAGGCAATGACTTATCGTAGAAAACTTAAGATTCGTTCGCATCGTGAACGTAAAGACAGTATTCGACGTTGCTGATTATATATAAATCCAACAAAATACATTGAAGATCGAATGGCGCTGTACGAAAAACACACGCGATATTAAACACGAGGGTTGGAGTGAAATGCGTTCGAGCGAAAGAAATTACAATTTCGTAATTTTCTTTCTCGATCCATCGAGGCCCGCCGTCGCCGCGGTGGGACCAGCCTCTTTTCCTACGGTCTCTCGTCTCATCCGTCTCTTTCTCGCGTTGCGATGATAATGATAGTGCGGAGCGCGAGCAAAGTTCGTCCATCCGGCTATTAATGCGCGTAATCATAGAGCCAGGGTCGCCGGTGTTAATAATGCGTTTTCGAATCTGTCGGAGCGAGAACGAACACCCACGCCGCGCCGATACTGCGCGTCGTCATTATGTACCGGCGGATACACAACGCGTATGGGTTTATGCGTGCGTGCGCGTGTGCGTACACTCCCACGCGCGCGAACGCACGCTACGCTAATATCTCCGCTTGATTATTCCAGGTGATCACAAGCTGGTTTGTTGTTACTGGTCGCACACAACAACCAGTAACACAACGACGATGACGACCACGGACGGTTGTAATCGTCCTCGGAAAAGGAATAATTTTTTTTCTCTCGGCTATAGCGAGTCAATAAATCCAGTTTGTCTTATTCTGGTGAACACAAGATCCATTCTCCTACAAATCGATTAGCATGCAGCCAATGATTCCGGAGTGCAAGAACGTTTCTCGCTACGACGACGTTGCTGGTGCTGTATTAATAGGTTCGCGAGAGAACGTGGAAAATCGCGAGAAATGATAGGAGAAAATAAGAAAGAATCTCATCGTTTTTAAATACGATTACTATATAAAAATGTCATAATTATTCGTAATTATTCGTAATGATTTTTTCATCTTGAAATGAGATATCACTGGAAGACATCGATACTTCGAAGCAAATCGCGAACACTTTTCCTACCGTCTTTTATTTTAATAAAAGAACAGAAATTAGAAACTTAATTAAATATAGTCGTTTATCAGTTTACGTAATATCTCGAGCGCCTTCGATACGGCGCTTCCGATAACTCGCGTGATCAAGCTGGCTCGTACTTCATAATTATCGGGAACGAATCACCGACTAAATTCCTCGATATAGCAACGCGATAAACGCAATGCGGCCAAGATGGAATAGAAGAATCGAAACGACGCGACGCCATACTACTCGCAATGAGAAAACGCAACGCGCAGAAGCAAGCACAGCTCGCCGAATCAATCTGGGGAGGCCACACCCTCTGACCTAAAGCCTTATTATCACGATAAACGCCCAGGAAAATGTCAGCCATGAAGCCGCCCCGAATTGTCCTCGCGCGCGATCCTCGCTGAAACGCTTATCATCGTCGTCGCGACTTTGCGTTTCGTATCGCGATCGCGATCACGCTATCCGCTCGGAGTCTCGGACGAATACGTTTCGTTCCCGCGAGAAGGTATGAGAGCTATACTCCGCGATACGTCCATATTTTTCTGCTCGTCGAAGCGTTCCGACCTCGATAATAATGCGCGGACGCGGGGGTAGCGCGACTTCGAGGTAGCCACAGTGATCGCTTTCATAATACAAAGCCTTTGGATTCTTAGTAGATAATTATTTTCGCGATACTTGTGCTCGTTTCTACCAATGTAGATTAACTTTAATCTTGATTCAACTTACTCTTTATGTTTTTCTAATTTTTAAAATTAGAAAACATGAAGAGTCAATTGAACCGAGATTATAAAAATTAGTATACACGATGGGTCATTTGTGTTTCGGGTTAATTTTCATTATTTTAACAAACTTGCAAAAATTATTAAATGAGTCTTACAGCTTTAAAAGTATTTACGAGATTGTATATTTTAAAAACATGTATATAAATATGTTGAATACTTGATGCGTCTAATTTTTCGAAGACGAGAAATGTAAAGGATACGAATGTAATCAATTATCTGTTTCATGCAATTGTAACCTGTAACTGTAATTTAATTGATACAATCATATATATAGGATAATGTGAAATCTGTATACCAAATTCTATTGCTTGTTACTGAAATATTACAAGAT